GTGACTTTGGGCAAATGACTTAAGATTCATGTGCTCTGGTTTCCTTGTCTATAAAATGGGGTGGGGTGTGCCTTAAAGGGCTTAATGGGGATCAGAAGAAGTAACATGTAAAATGCCAGCACAGTAATTAGCACATAGTAGGTAGGTTCATTATTCAAGGTGAGATGGCCTGGGTTCAAATCCAAGCTCTTCCACTTACAACTAACTAAAAAGCCTGGGGAAATGATTTTCTATTCCTGTGCCTCAATTTCCACACCTGTAAAATGGGAATACTTACTCATTGTGTTGTTCAGGCAATAATAAGGTAATTCATGTAAAAGTGCTTAGGACAGCATTTGGTACTTAGTGTAAGCTCAGTAAGTGTTTTATTTTCTATCTATCCCATTTTCCAAATGAGGAAACCTCAGTATAGAGAGGTTAGCTAACTTGCTGGTGATTAACAGCTTGCTAGTGATAGCTTCAAATGAAGGTCTAATTCCAAAGTTCATTATATGAGTCCCTGGGCTTCCTCAGCCTCTTCATCTTTGTATCCCCATGGGTCTTGGAGTCAGAGACAGGTTCCATCTACTAGCTGTGTGACCTTGGGAAGGCTTCTTAACCTCTTCAAGCCTTAGTTTCTCTTTATAAAATAACAACAGTATAGACCCTAGGAAGACTGTGGGGAGACAGAGAAACAATAAGCATACAATGTTTAGCACAGTGCCTGGTAGCAAGTGTTCAGTAAAGGTTTCCTGTTGTGATTATTACAATTTTGCTACTCCTTTGTCAAAGCAGCAGCTAGCTATTGCCCTCACCTTTCAGCAGGGTCACCAATGCCTTCCTCACTGCTAAATCCAGTAGATGCTTCTGTTCCCTCTTGTTAGACTTTCCAGCAGTAATTAACACCCTTGATCTGCTTTCCTTTGGGAAATATACTTTTCCCTTCATTTCCATGCTACCCATTAGCTCTCTGTTCACTCCTTTCTGCCATCCTTCAGTGCTTTTCCTAGGCATCTTCTGTCCTCTCTCTAGACCAGAGTTGCTCCACATCAGCACTATCGACCTTTTGGGCTGGGCAGCTTGGGTTGGGGCTATCCTGCGCATTGTACAATGTTCAGCACATAAGGGCCAAACACAATGGCAGTTAACATTCCTGCCTCTCTCCCATTATAATACTCAAAAATGTCTCCAGAAGCCATAATGTCCACATGGGGAACAAAAACAGTTGAGAGCCACTACTCAGATTCATTTCATGTCCACAGTCACCTGCTCTCTTGGCTTTAATTACATATGAAAGCTGATGACTCCTGATGGAAACCTCCACAACAGAGCACTATCCAGAACTCTGGATCCAAGCTGCTGTTCTGACCACTCCTCTTACATGGTTCTCACGTAATTCAAACTCCACCTGTCCTAAACTGAACGTTTCCCCATCTTTCTGCAATCTCACCTTCCTTCTGTTCTAAGGTAGATGAATGGAACCAACCCCAAAATGAGAATCTTTCCTAACTCCCATCTTCCTTCTCACCTCCCACATTAATTATTCATTAACATCTATCTTTTTTTTTTCTTTAAACAATTCTACCTTTTT